TAAAGTATACTTAAAAATATACTTGAACTTTACTTAAGTATACTTCCTAAAATAAACTTGCAGTATACTACTTTTTGGTAAGGGTCCCTCTTTCTTGTTGTGATGTGCCACTGAGCAATTTTGGTTTGAAACCAGTTTGGATATTTTTATTTTTTTTAAAGATGAAGCACATCCCACAGAGAGTTTTTGTCAGTGGCATCATTAGTTCCACGCTGATTTACAGTGTTTTTATTTATAGCAATTCACAGAGGTGTGAATAGCATAATTTATCATTTTAATTCAGCTTTAATTATTTGTAATTAATGATGTTGTCATGTATTTGTTATTTTTTACATTTGCTTAAAGGTGCTGTATGTAGGATTGACACCGAGTGGTTGAACTAGATATGCCCAAGGTACCGGGATCTAAACCAACTCAGAGAAATGGAACGAGGTCAATAACGTGTAACCCTTACCATACAGGATTTCAGAAAAGTGGGCAAAGCATAACGTGCACACTTACCACTTATGTGGAATGGATGCACACATCCTTAAACGCTTTGCTAGTGCTCGCCATAATGAGATGAATAGAGATCGCTCTTACCACAGAAATGCACGCTTCAAACAAAACAGTCAATGAAGACGAAGAAGAGAATGATGTGTGCTCCCGGCGCCTATTTATACTATAGTCGCACCGGTAGTGACATCATGGCTGTCGCCGGCCAACGAGTTGGTGTTTTTTCAATGTATGCTTCAGACACGGGTCACGACGAGGCGTTCCCCCATAGCGACCCCTAGAGGGCGCAGTTCGAAGTTCCCATGAAAGGGAACAGAGCTCGATATTCCGGCCTGGAATGCACATATTCAAAGGAGAATAACTGACTGTAGCATTGTTTTTCAGATAAACAAGTATGTTAACTTAGCATGTTTCTTAAATATCTGCAAACATATTATGGTATTTTTATGCTTTAGTAGAGTCAAAAACTTACATACAGCACCTTTAACATTCTTATTAGGTGCACTCAACCATATTTCCCACTAAAAATTGTTTAATACTTCAACATTTGTCATTCAGTAAACTGATATGTTGTTTTATTCTACATAAGACATTTGGCACTTCAAGGAAACGTTTTGATGCATGCTGCATCCACACCAATAGGTGTCAGTATGAAGTTCAATATCACTGTTGTACCAGTTAGTGAAAGAGACAAAAAGGAGCACTTTACATTTTCTTTACATCTAAGGAAATTAGAAGTGCATTTAACAAATATGTTTAACAAGGTCTAGAGTCATATGAGAATTCAGCTTAGAAAAAGCTATTTTATTCTACATAAGGTGGGTTGCTCCTTCATTGTGGCAGCCATGTTGAGATCACATGACCAGCTGTGGCTTTGGAATTCTAACAAGATAGTACACAAACAGATCAACTTACCTCAAACTCTTGAGTTTACATTGTTACACACTGGTCAACTGCAGTAACATTGTATGAACTGTTGGGGCCAACAGAGAGGTCCAGTGTTGTCATACTGTTTGTTTAAGAAGACAAATAAGAGGCTGCAAAAGACAATGGATCTAAATAAACATTAGAGCTAAAAATAAGATTTGGTTTTAAGATCTATATCCACTTTTTCATCTGAATATATAGAATTAAATACGCGTTGATGGTGAACAGCCAATGTGGCTGATGAATCTGTGTTCAGGGTTCAGTGTTGTACCGATGAGTGCTGGTGATAAATGAGAGGTTACTATGTGGGCACAGTGTGCTCTGGTGTCATGGCGCCAGGAGGTGACCTACATGACAAGGTGTTAATCTGTCATTGATGCGCTGATCTATTAGCACCATGACCTTTTGCTCTCTTTTGTGAGTGTGTATCTGTCTGTGTGTATATGTGCACTACACTATCACTACAATATTTATCAAGTTATGCTGCTGTTGCTTTAGTTCTGAAACTAGTGCAGCAATGTGTATCAGATGTCAATTGTGAAACTTTACATCTATACTGTATATCTGTTACCAGCCATTAAACTGAATTTCATTTTGGAAGCTTAAATGTGCTCTTAGATAGTTAAGTAATTTTGCTGATTTTCAGCATTTTACTAATGGGGTTGAACAACTTTAACTCGCAATCTAAAGACACTTGACTTAATGGAATAGTTCAGTAAAGTATAAATAAATAAATAAATTGTCATCGTTTACTCATCCTCTTGTCGTTCCAAACCCGTATGCATTTCATTTTTCTGCAGAACAAAAAGGATAATTAATAATAACAATAATAAAGCATCACTTGCCCACCGCACACCACCATAGTTAAAAATTTTTATAGTAATAACAATTTTTTTTAATTTAGTTAAAGAACAGACACTACAATTCAAAACTGATCGCCGCTGCTCAATGCAGCATGCCGAATGACAGTTGCATCACAGATCAGCAGCAGGAATCAGATTTCATTTATCACTTCAGGAGAGTAAGTCGAGCTGACTGACAATGATGGTGAAGATTTAGTTTTGAAACGAAATGCAAAAGCGCCTGTTTGGCAATATTTTTGAAAATTGATTTTTGCCATTTATCTAAGGTGATTTTGGAAGTTTTTTTTTATATCAGTTTCTTATTTATTTGGTTCCACAGTGTTTAATAATTTTTACTTTATTTAAACTTTGTGTAATTTATTGTATTTTATTTTACATCAAGCTGTACCGTTTGGAGTCATACCATTTTGGAATGACATATGGGTGAGTAAATGATGACAGAATTTTAATTTTTGAGTGAACTGTCCCTTTAAATCTGTGAGGGTCACACTATCATTCTTACTTCTTACTCTGTGTTTAATTTGGACCCTGAGTCTGAGCCAATGCAATGAGCCGGATTGATGCTCTGTCCTCTCTATTACTGAGTCCTATAGTGTTTGCAGTGGTTCTCGCAGGGTTTAGATATGTTATAGAGTAATAGAGGGCGGTGTGTGTGTGTGTGTGTGTGTGTGTGTGTTTGAGAGAGAGAGAGAGAGAGAGAGAGAGTACTGCACTCTGGGTTGTTGATCACGTTGATGGTTTATAAGGTAAGATGACTGGACCAT